ACTTGACCGCGAAATAAACAAACAAACGAGCGAATAAAAGCAAACGAACCGTGACCGTTATAAGGACGAACAGACAAATGATCATGGCAACTGCTTAAACGTTCGCTGCAATAAAGTAAACTCCAGTCGTGCACATTAAATCTGCAATCGTTATCAACTGATTATATCATGATATCACGTCAACGCCCACACTTCACCGAGCAATAATTCATTCTACATTAACAGCAATTCAAAGTGTCGCTGAATAAGTCTATGGCTCATTCATTCGCAAAGTAATCATAGCACCAATAATAACAACCATAATAATAATAATAATAATAATTATTATTATTATTATTATTATTATTATTATTATTATTATTATTATTATTATTATTATTATTATTACTATTATTATTATTATTATTATTATTATTATTATTATTATTATTATTATTATTATTATAACAATAATAATAACAATAATAATAACAATACCAATAACAATAACAGTAATGATAATAATAATAGTAATAATAATAATAATATCAATAACAATAACAATAATGATAATTATAGCAATAATAATAACAAGAATAATAATAACAATATCTATAACAATAACAATAATGATAATAATAATAACTATAATAATAAATGTTACTCTACTTCACTGTTAACTTATATGGAAAAGAAAGAAAGGGTACCATCTGCAGTTTCTATGCACGTTGTTCTCAGTACCCACAAAGCATTATTTCAATGTCGTCATTGAGACCACTCGTTCAAATTCGTAATTGTAAAGAAATGTGAGTATTGAAGATCCTAGCAAGTTGCGGTCAATCGAATGAACTAATTAATGTTACCACGAAGAAAGAAAAGAATAAAATTTGATGAATTTATATGACTGCGTAGTTAATTGTGAACTTTGATTGCACTAAAGATTAACTTCATAATGGTAATAATAACTGATAATGATATATACTTAAGTAAATAAAACGTATTGATAGGAGTAATTTACACAAAAGACAAAAGAAATGCATACTGCGTTGAGTAGGCAATCTGTAAGTGGAACGTGTTAAAAACCGGAAATTGGAGAACGGCAATACAATTGAACTGATCATTATAGGACATCTTACCAATTAACTCTTCTCGTATTAATTTAAGAAAAACGACTTGTACTTGATTCACTTATGTCGCTTCGTCACTTACTATTGCTAACACCATCCTTTCTACTCTTATCATCATTATTAGTACTATTGTTATTATGATTATCATTATTATTATTACTGTTATTATTATTATCATTATTATTATATTATTACTATTATTGTTATTATTCTTATTTTATTATTCTTTATTCTTGTTCTTACTTTTTATTTTTATTCTTCATTATCCATTGTCTTCATTGTCATTCACAGAACAGTTATTTTAATTTTATCACAGATAGAAGTACTTGAAGAGAAGAATGATAATTGGTTGATTACAAATGATGAAATTGTTTTTAATTTGCTTCTGAATATTAACAGGAAGATGATTACTTCGAAATGTGAAGTAAAGAATTCGCAAGAAAATCAAATTATTTCTTCAGATTGAATTCTCAGGAAGTAGAATTTGATCAGATGCAATAATCAAAATTTGGAAGGGAGTGAAAGAGTGCAGGATTATTGCACAAATGTTGTGCATAACATTTAAGAAATTTTCCGCATTGGATAGGCCTGGCTGCGAATACAATATGGACACTAAAACCGAACAAATTTCATGCATGCTAAAATTTTTCAGAAATTACTTTCATTCATTCATTCAGCATAGTCATACTATTTATAAAGCAAGCAATAATATTCAAAATAGCAACGCTGAACGAATCAATTCAGCATTTTATGAATAATGAGAAGCATTTAGAATGACCTTCTCGAAACACCCCAATTCCATTCATATAGCAGACAATTATTCATCTATTATTCCATCACTTATTGTTCATGCAAAAACCACTCAGTGACATATCAATTTTTAGTGACATACTATGCTTATTTTTATTTTGATCCTCATATTATTATCGTGTTTATTATTATTGTTAATACCATTGACAAGTGATAATCTAACTCAATCTATTGATCCATTAGACGCTTCCATCACTCGAGTGATCAGTCGCTCTTGTTGATCATTTTACCTATGTTAGTGTTCTTAATGGTTCTCATAAAGTGAAGCTGGATCAATGGCTGATTTTGCTACGACCTAACCATGTCAGACAACATCAGGTCCACCAAATCCTCTGTTATTATATTTCATTGACAGAATATGGTTAGTTCCACAGAGATAACTAGATTTTGGTAGTCTCATTTAGCTGACTGAGTGATTTCTTTACGCCGCCGAACTCCGTATAGTTGATTTCTTAATTGCTCAAGGATACACTAATGTAGAAATATCAGAAACATAGTTTTCGTGCTACTTCTATCCTTTGATTTTTGCAACAGCATAATGGTTTCTGTATATCGTTAAATTCATAAGAATTGTGTGATTAGTTTATTACGCACATTGTTGACGGATAACGCATTGGCTCTACAGATGTAGCTAAATTTTTGAAAGCATGTCATATATCGGAGCGATTTCTACCCAGAACTTTGTAGGATTTGGCGGTGAAGGACTGTCTGTACTACGTCATGTTTGCCTTAGTGTCAAGCCAGGAGCTACCCGTGCAACGACATGGGTAGATGATATGCTGAATTATAGAGGTATTACCGATCTCATTTTTAATCATTTGAAAGTGAGATGCGTTGCCTTCTACAGAGATGAGGTGAAAGTAATGCTTGGCGCAATTGTTCGAGAAATGTGGAATTTGCTTGCGTTACAGTTAAATTTAGCAACTCCTTGCATCACTAGTGAACAGAACCCTTTCTGACAGCCACTGCCAGCTGATCCAGTTTGTTTATCATTTTCGCTTTTCGATAGTCGTGATCGCAACTGCGAGCATATTCATAAGCAAGCCCATACATCTCACGAGTCTAGAACAACTCACATTTCTGGGTTTCATTATCCTAATTTCACCTTCCTTGTGCAACGATAAATTTAATGTTATCGCATCAGACGTCGATCCTTATGCACACCGCTCAGGCATTAATATCCCATGCTAACCACTAGCGATATGCTTATTGGACTGCTTCGTATTTATTCAAAACATAAGCAGCTCGAATAATTTTTCCTCTCAGTCCACATCCCGTGTGGACAGTGGATGCGAAAAGCTCGACTAGAACGATAAGGCTAAAATAATGACAGAAACAGGAACCGCCAATTCGTTTTTGGTAGTCTCTGTGACAAGCCCAGACACCACACTTGTAAACAGAACGCGTGGGTACGGAATGGGCTCACTCAAAAAGTACTTCCAAAACGAGCCAACGCCGAGAAATGCGATTGAGAGATTGCAGCTTGGATAATTTCCTTTGCTCGTTAAT